GAATTCATATATTTGATGGTCCAGGATCAACATTAGCTAATTTATATATTTGACGGTCCAGGATTAACATTAGTGAATTTATATATTTGATGGTCCAGGATCAACATTAGCGAATTCATATATTTGATGGTCAAGGATCAACATTGGTGAATTTATATATTTGATGGTCCAGGATTAACATTAGCAAATTCATATATTTAATGGTCCAGGATCAACATTGGTGTTTTTATATATTTTTCGGTCCAGGATCAACATTGGAGAATTTATAAAATTGATGGACCAGGATCAACATTAGCGAATTCATAGATTTAATGGTCCAGGATCAACATTGGTGAATTTATATATTTCATGGTCCAGGATTAACATTAGCTAATTTATATATTTGATGGTCCAGGATCAACATTAGTGACTTCAAATATTTGATGGTCCAGGATCAACATTGGCGGAGTTATATATTTGATGGTCCAGGATCAACATTGGTGAAGTTATAAATTTGATGGTCCAGGATCAACATTAGTGAATTCATATATTTGATGGTCCAGGATCAACATTAGCGAAGTCAAATATTTGATGGTCCAGGATTAACATTAGCAAATTCATATATTTGATGGTCCAGGATCAACATTAGTGACTTCAAATATTTGATGGTCCAGGATCAACATTGGCGGAGTTATATATTTGATGGTCCAGGATTAACATTAGTGAATTTATATATTTGATGGTCCAGGATCAACATTAGCTAATTTACATATTTGATGGTCCAGGATAAACATTAGTGAATTCATATATTTGATGGTCCAGGATCAACATTAGCTAATTTATATATTTGACGGTCCAGGATTAACATTAGTGAATTTATATATTTGATGGTCCAGGATCAACATTAGCGAATTCATATATTTGATGGTCAAGGATCAACATTGGTGAATTTATATATTTGATGGTCCAGGATCAACATTAGCGAAGTCAAATATTTGATGGTCCAGGATTAACATTAGCAAATTCATATATTTAATGGTCCAGGATCAACATTGGTGTTTTTATATATTTTTCGGTCCAGGATCAACATTGGAGAATTTATAAAATTGATGGACCAGGATCAACATTAGCGAATTCATATATTTGATGGTCAAGGATCAACATTGGTGAATTTATATATTTGATGGTCCAGGATCAACATTAGCGAAGTCAAATATTTGATGGTCCAGGATTAACATTAGCAAATTCATATATTTAATGGTCCAGGATCAACATTGGTGTTTTTATATATTTTTCGGTCCAGGATCAACATTGGATAATTTATAAAATTGATGGACCAGGATCAACATTAGCGAATTCATAGATTTAATGGTCCAGGATCAACATTGGTGAATTTATATATTTCATGGTCCAGGATTAACATTAGCTAATTTATATATTTGATGGTCCAGGATCAACATTAGTGACTTCAAATATTTGATGGTCCAGGATCAACATTGGCGGAGTTATATATTTGATGGTCCAGGATCAACATTGGTGAAGTTATAAATTTGATGGTCCAGGATCAACATTAGTGAATTCATACATTTGTTGTTTGTTTTTGTTAACTATAATAACCTTGCCTCGATAGATATTTCTTTCTTAAAGACATCAAAACAACCCTGTTACATGTGTTCTTACATGTGCTTCTGTGAACCGTGTGTTTTGCTGTTTTGAGAATTGCAACATTCGGAGACTCGCTAAACAGATCTCCTATTAGATGATTGTTGCTTTTCATGCAAATATTTGGCAAGGTTTCAGCATACCTGAGAGATGCAGTCAGCATGATCTTTCATTTAAGGACATGATCTATGGTGCCCGGGAAGACCTACAAAAACAAATTGAGTGAAAATATTACAAACAAGCGAAATATCAAAGCATATATATAAAAATCTATAAACTTGCAACTAATAAGATTTATTTCATTTTATAAAAGCAAAATAAATTGATAAATTTGATAAATTAAAAATTTGAAAATTGATAAAAGCTAAAATAGTGTTTAACTGTATTCATTTGAATAAATTTAAAAAGACAATCAATGAACTTTTATTCAATTTATTTAGGAGGGTTCGGTTAAACGTTTTTGGTTATTTTTGGTACATTTTACATGGTATTTTCAATTTAATTGTACTCGATATATGATTACATTTTGCTTGTGTAAATTATTACAAAGATTTTATTGAGTAAACCTTAAAGAGTAATTTTTTTACTGGGTAGGGACCTTTCGTCTTACATAAAACAGCTGTTATGTAAGTGTAAATGTGTTAATTGTTGGATGACAATTTATTCTTTTTAAATTAAAATCTTCCACTATATTTAACAATATGGTGATGATTGGTCTTCTTTTTTCAGTGAAACAGAAACACATGTTGAAAAGGAGATCTGCATTAGTCAAGACAGTCTGATGAACAATCTGGTTTTGACAGAGGAGGAAGGCAAACCATGGTACAACTCCACTAATAAATGACAGTTACTGTATTAATATGCCTCCTCACTGAGAAAACATCAACAAAACCAAACTTACATCATATGTCATGTTTTCCTTCCCAGTGTGTCTGAGTGTCTGGAGACTCAGGAGTCGCATCTTTTCCACAAGGGTGATCAGATCCTGGCCCTCAATGACTTGCTAACAAACACATTAGCTGAGATACAGACATACCTTAAAAGACTTAGCAAGGAAGAGGTAAGAGGGTGATCCACAGTAAACAAATGTTTTATGACTACATTTACAAACACTTCAATTACGTTATTGAAATTACCTGTAGGTGAAACTCACTATTCGACGGCTTCCAGGATCCCAGCCTTTGAGCAATGAATCCAACGAGACATGAAAGAAAAATCCCCTCTTAATACAATCATTGCATTGAATTATTAGAAATAATGTGCACGTCTTGTTTAAGATTAAAGTCAGCAGGATTTTAACATTTATGACTCTTATCATAAGACTCGTATTATAAATCTTTTACATGTGAATCTTATCATAAGGGTAGAAACCAAACAAAGCATTAATATATAATAAACCTGGCTAGTGGGAATATTAGTGCATATTTATATGGACAAAGTATTACTTTAAAAGTATGAAGTTAAATTCACTGTGAAAAATGCACATTGTAAACGGTTTAATCTCTTAAAACTGCACTTACAGTGAGAGGTACTTTATTTATTATGCATATACACACATCTTTTCTTTGTATTATATTTTACAACGTATTTTAACAACGATTTCAACTTTTCTCTATTTTTAAGCATTTAACAATTGCTCTTAATCTTCATGCTAGGATTAAACTGTATCAGATACAGGATGATAGTAGATGGTGGATTAATGAAGTCTACTTAAAATACAAATAAATTTATGTACTACATTTTAAAACACATTTAAACCATGATTTCACTTTTCTGTCTATTTAAGCGTTGAGCGATTGCTCTAAATCTTTATGCAGTGTCTAAACTGTATCAGAAACTGGATGATATTAGACGGATGATTATTATAGCATACTTAATACATAAATTAATTATGAGAATTTGTACATAGTAATTTTGTTTTCTTTTTTTGCACAGGAATACAAAATATTAAAATAAAACTAAACTATAAGCCATAATGTGCATGAATAGTCAAAAACTAGGCTTATTTAAAATTATAATAATTGATTATTAATCTTATTTTATATACAAGAATAATAATAATAATAATAATAATAATAATAATAATAATAAAAGGCAATAACAAAACAACTGCATAGCAACATATGCTCAATTACAGTTAAAAGTGAATAATGAATACCCACAAAAGAAATTAAATCAAGTCATCTATGGCTGAAGAATAGAGCTCAAGTATGCTTAACTGTTACATTGATACTCGTTACGATATTTTACTATATATACAAAATCAAGTCATCTCTGGTTTAAGAATACTCAAGGATACTTTACTTTTACATAGATACTACTTAGATATTTTTCGTTTGCATATTTTAAAGAATCTCATATCTAAAATGCACCAATACATTATTAACCCCGAAGCTCCTTTTGTTTGTTTTGGATATATCAGCTATGTTTATTCATGCATGATTGATGGTTTTCACAACCCAACTATTATACAATTATAATGAGCTCAGATGTTGTTGTTTGCTACTCTGAGAGGAACTTTTTTTAAGTCAAAGCATCTAACCTGAATCTCCACTGACGCATCACATTACAGTCAAGAATAAAGAGTGGTAGCTTCCTTGTAAACTTCATTTATTTACACTGGCACTGAAAACCTGTTCTTTTTCCGCATGCTAAAAAAAGCACAGTTGCATTTTAAAGAGCTGAAGTTGACATGACTATTTTATCTATTACACTGCTGTCTTTAAATCGCAACTAAGTGCATCTTACAATCTGAGCTGTTTTATGTTAATATTTTAATGATTAGACACCGTCTACACTCATGAAAAAAGATCAAAGATGAAGCATTACATTTTGGTGTCTGCATCAAATGAAATGTACTAAAGTGATTCACACATATTAAGGATATTAGATCTGTTATAAAATATATTGATATTAAATCTCAATGTTCTATGCCTATTTGTGAGGTGTGTATTTTGGTTCTGGATATTGAATGTTTCGTCTATTTTAAATGTTTTACTGTCATTGTTACCCAAAACAGTTTTGACTTTAGTATCTTTTTTGTGTGAAGCGCTTTGGGATTAAGTTTTAAAGGCGCTATATAAAAAAGAAATCATTATTATTATAATATTCCATGGTAAATCATCAGATATATTTATGGGAAAAAAAACATTCTTATTCTGGCCTGTACTAATATATTTGATAATACATTATATATAAATGCTCAATAATTATTGCTGTCAAATGAGCACATCCTACTGGTTTTAAGGAGAGTGGATTCAAACCAACAGTTATGGAGAACTTCAATTATTCGCTGTGATTTTAATATATGGTCTTTTAATGTTACCATATGTACTGTGTGTTCCAAATCTGCTGGATAAAGCTTTTTTGTTGTAATCATTAACTTAAAACATTTGAAGTGGGTGTTCTCTGTAAATCATGCTAAAATAATAAATGACAGTCATTAAAAAAACAAAACATTACAATTTCTAATGTGTTTATTAACAATTTGCCCATCAACTCCTACCCCATGTTTGAATAACTGGAAAATATACCTGCAGGGCAAAACATCCACAGAACTGCAGAACAAGCCTGTTTATTTTCCATCTATTTGAATCCATGAATATTTAGATCACCTTCAAAATATGAAAGAAACAAATATGTCAGAACAATCTGCATGTTTTAGCCCGTTAACCAACCACATACAACATCTGCTGCAGTAAAAAGATCACATTCACTACATTTGCATTGATGACGATGCATATTAGCAAACAGATGAGCACAGAATATGAATATGATATTTTTTATTAGGTTTTTATTAGATTTATTAATTATAATTTAATTTTACATTAATATTCTGAGTAGATCTACATGATATACATCATCAATAAATTGTACACTGAATTTTTATCTTATTCAGTTATTAAACTACACACAATGTGCTTTAACATTTACAGTGTTACTTGCAATTTTGGTTGTCAGTAATACTTTAGAATGTACAGTGCACTTGAACATTTGCTGCCAATTTTTACAGCATTAATGGCTATATTAACAATATTACCTAAAATTTACAAGCGCTCTGTAAATTAACAATTACCACTGTTGTAGTTTCATTTACAGTGCACGTGTAAATTTTACAGTATTTCTTGCAACCAAAATTGCCAGCAATACTTAAAATTTTACAGCATTTTTACAGTGTTGTGCCTAATAGAAAACTGTAAAAATCAATCCTTGCCACAAATTTATTATTTATTATAATTATAATTAATTATTATAATTATTTATTATGTGGTGGCTTTGACAACTTCATGCAAACTGATAATAAATGAGATGCTGTTGTTTGTGACTGGGAGAGGGCTATTTACCTGAAAGCTTAAACAAAAACACAGCTTTCTGTTTCCAACAGTACGGAGAACAAAAGATGTCACAGAGGACAAAAAAGTCAAATGCACACAATGACACTAAAACAAAAGGTAAACCAAGGTATAGAAAACCAGGAGTGCTGTTAGGAACCAGAGTGAACTCTAACTAAACGGGACTCACAGAATTCAGAGATAATGTATTTCTAGGAAAATATAGATAATCCGTGATTTTTACAAATTGTTCTTGTGTTTTTCCACTAAGGATACGTCACTGGCATGCAGTAAGGTGACAATCACAATGCATCTCATGTGAACTACAGCACAGAAGCGACATTGTGCAAAACAAAATCACTTTATAAAGCCTTTACTTAAGTATTGCACATGCAAGTATAAATGCACAAATGCATTTAAAGAAATGTTAAAGTTGCACCACTTCAAAAGCTATCTGTGAGTTTTCTTAGCAGAAACTTGCCTTAATCTGTATCTGACATGGTAATAGGTCTGTGGAAACCCAATCTGTTGCAGAAAATGACAGACTGTTTCCTCATTGGAGAAAGCAGGTTGGTCAGGATTTCTTTGACTTTCATCCAACCTTTACTGGAAGACTAATATATATTTAGAAACAGTTACATAAAGCACAACATTTTGTATCGAGATTCAATTTCTGCTGCAACCAGAGCTTGATCGTAAAATTGTGCTATTCTCAGGACTTATTCTCAGATTTCTAGACGATAACTAGAATTTTTTTGTTACTACTAATTTTCCATTCATCAGAAATCCTGCCATCTAAGACTATTAGACCAAATAAATGGTATGCAAAAGAGATTTCATCTAATTCTACATCGCAAACACCAAACTTTTAAAGGAGAGTATATTCTGAAGCCAGAATTTTGAGTTCTTCACTAATTAACAGACTTTAATAAAATGATTAATAATGGAAAATGGTGCTTCCTCATCCTCACTCAATGTTCCCGTCAGTGATGTCAGAGTGCTTTCAGAAATCGCACCAGCCTTTAAAACAGGACTGATTGTTGACTGACGTGTGAAGATTTTATCAATCAGCATGGTCAAAATCTGGGGCAGTACGGTGGCGCTGTGGGTAGCACAATCACCTCACAGCAAGAAGGTCACTGGTTCGAGCCTTGGCTGCATGGGTCAGTTGGCGTGGGTTTCCTCCGGGTGCTCCAGTTTCCCCCACAAGTTCAAAACAAGGGTACTTGGGTAAGCAAATTGTCCCGAGTATGTGTGTGAATAAGATGTTTCACAGTACTGGGTTGCAGCAGGAAGGGCATCTGCTGTGTAAAACATATGCTGGATAAGTTGGAGGTTCACTCTGCTGTAGCGACGTCAGATTAACACTTATGGGACTAAGCCGAAAAGAAAATGAATGAATGAATGATTGAACGGTCATAATCCATTTTTGTATATTTGAAAATCAGTTTTGGTTTATGTTTTTCACAATTACTTTAAAATTATTTGCCATTAATGTATTATATACACTCAAAAAATTATTTTTGCTGCTTGTTCAAACTATTTATTTAATATAAGTTGAAACAAAACAATTATTTTGTGTTTTTGGGACAATTCGATTCTTTTATGTTTAATCTACATTGCAAAAATTGCAAAATTGTTGCAAACTATTTATTTGTGTTGAATTTAAACTAACAAATTAAATTTAGTTCAACTGAATTTGTTAGCTTAAATTCAACCTAAGAATAGTTTACAACCACTTAACTTAAATCAATTTAGTAAATCTAAGGAATCATGTTTGAATTTTTTTTTCAGGGTACTTCAATTTGTAAAAGTGTAAAAAATGTAACTTAATTTTTGTTGGGACAACATGAAGTAATTGTGTGGAACCCAGCATTTTTCACAGTGTATAATCATTTAAAAACAACATGTTTTAAGGAACATTAAAGAATGTTCTTTCATCGGTTCATCAAGCATTGCCCTGATCACCCTTGCCTTACAGCATAGACTTTTTAAGAATTAAGTTTTTTTTTTAAGTTTTTAGCATAAATCAGAGGTCTGTCGTCATCATGTACCTGAAGGCTGATCTCTAGTGTTTTATTCCTCTCTTTCTTTCAAAGAGAAGTTAAATCGATGTAAACTCCCAAAAAAAAAAACATGCAGCAAAAAAAAAATAAAAAAATTGTGTAAATGCTGCATTGTGTCTCAAAGTGGTCAGGATTAAACGGAGTAGCATAGCTCATTAGTCCTTGTTGACAAGGCTGTGGTATTAAGAGTTTTTTTTTTTTTTTTTGAGAATTGTAGGTATGCAAGCTTCTGGTAAACTGAAACGTCTGGTCAACCTATTTATAGATTATTCGTCACAATGAACTCGAAAACCCCTTCACATTTTTTTTTTTTTCAAATTCAATACATAGTTCACCCAAAAATTGTAATTCTGCCATACTCATTCTTTATCGTTCTACTGAGTTTTTACTTCTACTGAACACAAAGGAAGATGTCTTGAAGAAAGTTGGAAAAGAAGTTTTGAAATGATGACAGCAAAGTTTGTCTCGTATTTATCAAAAATGTACAACAAATCTGACAAGCCATTTATTCATACATTTTCTTTTTGACTTAGTTTATTAATCAGGGGTTGCCACAGCAGAATGAACAGCCAACATAGGTTTTTACACAACAAATGCCAGTACAGCTGCAACCCAGTACTGGGAAACATCCACACACGCTCATAGTTTATTCAATTCACCAGTACTGCACGAAAACCAGAGCACTTGGAGGAAACCCACATGAACATGACGAGAACATGCAAACTCCACACAGAAATTCCAACTGGAATAAAAAATAATGGTACAATAAATGACGATCTGTGTCCAAAAATGAAGATCAATTCTCTCATGCTATTTCTATATTGTTTAAAGCAGTTTTTTTGTTGTTGTTGTTGTTTCCATGTCACACTATAGGTTATATGGTGGTTTAATATTAAAGAAACAGTTCAGTAAAAAATTTATAAATATATACATATATATATATATATATATATATATATATATATATATATATATATATATATATATATATATATATATATATATATATATACATATATATATATATATATATATATATATATATATATATATATATAATTTATATTAGTGACCCTCAAACATCAGACTTCAAACTTCATGAATATATCTAGTCTTTCCTTAAAAATGTTGTTGGACAAAAAAGTAATCATTACTCTTGGTTTTTAGTGTCTACACATACCCCCTACCCCTACAGTGTTGGCATTTGCTCTATAAAGAGTGCATGTGCCTGACAATGTCTGTGCAAGTCTGCAGCCAGATGCTACTGGCTGACAGTGTGATAAATATGTAAGCAAGTCTAACATGTCTTCAGTGAGCAGGACTCTCTAGCGGTGATTTCTGAAAATGCAGTGAGTGGAATAAATAATTTTTCAGACCTGTAGATCGCTTGCTTTGCTGCAAGGTTGAATTTGCTTTCTGCTCTAAAAAGCACATTTGAAAACTGTGCTTAAAAAGTGCTTATGCAAGTCACTTGAAAGTAAAACTGTCTGCTCATTGTTGATCAGAGTGTATATGTTTATGTTCATTTGCATCATCCATCAAGACTGACTGACAGATTGGCTTTTTGTGGATTTATGTCAAGGTGTGATCCAATCTAACTGAAAGATTCTGTACTTAATTTATTTTAAATTTTATACACCCTTTAAAATAAAGGTTGTTTGTTGCTATTGTTGTCTCTATGAATAATCTTCACATTAATAGAACCTTTTCATTGCGCTAAAGGTTATTTATAGTGAAAAATGCTTTAAAATCATTAACATTTTCGACAAGAACAAAAAGCCTCTTTTGAGACCAGAACCAAAAAAGGCTCTATTTGTACTGAATAGACATTTGAGGAACTCTGAACAAATGATTTTACATAATCAAACACCACTGTTTTTTATGTAGCCCTTTTTCCATTATGAATTATAAATTCAGGTGGTTGGCTGGTCATTTGGGTTGGAACTTTGGCTTTTTTCATTTTGGCACCCAATAAAATGGCTTAAGAGTTTCTTCATTCAGGCAGAGAATCAGGTTTTAAATCAAAGGCTCTAATTGTGAAAACATGTACTCCAGATAACAAATAGGGAGAAGGTCTTTTAAAAATTGATGCAATTCTTGCAAGATGACTACTTGCATTTTCTGTTGTCAAAGCGTCTTTGAAAATATAAACGGAATGTATTGGAATTTTCAGACGTCATCTTAGTTCCTCGTGTTAATCGTGTTCCCAGAAATAAACATGCACAGAGTTTCTAAAAAAAAAAAAAAAACATTAAACAAACAAACACAAAAAAAGTGTAAACTGATTCTAACTGATTAGCTAATGACTGATTCTGAATAATTAATCTGATCTCATTTATATGAGGAGGGCAACCAAACTATAATTTGACTTTTCAGACTTACTATGTAAATATTGCTTTGCCTCTACTTAAAAATTACCCAATTTTAGAAGGTCAAAATTACTAATTAGATATTACAGTATCTTTTTATATGATATCAAAAGACACAAAAAAATTAAAAAGCCAGCATATGGATGTTTATCAGCTCAGTTTATAAAGAATTTATCTAAATAACTACAATCATCTCAGACATTCCAGTAAGGCAAACCCCCATGCATCATGTTTTCAAGTCACTGCCAGTAATCTAGCAATTCTCAAAACCAAATTTTTGGTGACCCATGAATTTTGAAGTTTCCAACAAAGGGAGGACTCACTGAAAGCTTTACGAGAATCTCCACCTCCCTCAAAAACAAAAAGAGTCTTCCTTCAAAATACTGTAACAGATTTTGAGAACAGGACAGCGGTGCAAAGGAGACACATACAATACAGGTAATGCATTTAAAATATACAGCACAGTTCGTTTTAAGCAGATATGATGACTGTGTAGCTGCTTACTACATTTTGCCCATATGAATCTTTCTGACATATTTATCATTTATATATATATATATTGCATATTTAAGCTTAAAAATACTAATAAATTACAAACTATTTGATAAAAGAAAGTTGTTCATGTTTGGTTTTAGATGAACAGATTTATTATAGACAGAATTTTAAAAATTAGATGATTCACGCAGAAAAGGGATCATTCAAATGAAATTACTCAAAGCTTTTGTACTTCAAAATTAAAATAGCGTCTATAAATCAAAATAACATTACAGACCTGACTTGATTTTCACAGAGAGGATCTTTTGTGTGCCACAAAATAAAGCATAATAGTTTATAATGGCATTTAGAGTGAGAAAACCTTCAACATTTTTATTTTGGTTGAACTAATTATATTCCTTTCAGGTTTTTAACACATTAAATACATTTATTTAAAATTCTAGTATTAAAAAGCAGCTTATTTATATATTACAACTGTTACAATTAAAACTTCCTTAACTATCGTTTGATGAGTGCCTTCATAACTTATTTCATTCTTCTTTTGCACAGAAACAACATCTTCTAAATGTACAACAGAAAAAAATCAGGTATGCCTAAGAACACAACCACAGGAACCAGAATAGCTGGAGAAGATATTAGACTACAAGAAAACACTTGGCTAATATAATTTATACAGATTGAGATGAGTTATTATTCTGTAATTGAGTGTATGCTTTCTTCTGCAACAGATTCAACTGCTTCAAACCATAGTGAAGCAGCTGAGATGGAGGACTTATGTTCAGGTTTCCTGTACAAATCCCCTCCTTCTGGCCAAATAAGAAAGATGGTATGGATTTTGGATTTTGTAAACTTACATTTTTTGCAGGTTTTCTCCACATTTCAAATAAACGGTTTCATTGTCTATTGCAGAAATCCTGGAAGCGTCGCTTCTTTGTGCTTGAAAAGAAAAACAACGGCAGCCACGAGCTAAAATACTACAAAACCACTGAGAAAGACAAAGCTATAAAGTCCATTGAGGTTTCAAGGTAAGACAAAACTTGGTGAATGCTTTTCAGTTAAATAAATTATTAATATTATTCAATGATAAATACATTTATATACACTCCTATGCAGCATCACATTGCTCTACGTGGGACCCGAATCACATTCGGCTTTTGAATGGATCTCTAAAACCTTCAAGTGCTCTTCTTCCTCTGTGCTCTTCATGAAAACAGAAAATCCAACAGACAAGGTGCAGCGAGAATACTTTTTCATCGGCGACTCCAGGTTTGTCATGATTACCTTTAGTGAACTTTAATTACTTAATAAAAGTACAATAATAAACGAACATTTATTTACAACAAATAATCTGTTGTTTTCAGTGAGGAGGTGAATAGATGGTTTAATGCTATATTCGGAGTTTTGAAGGTAAGACATTCTATTTTTAATGTGAAAAGCTGCAATTAGTTTCTTTATAAATAATAAAATGATGCACTTTTATTTAAAAAAATGGACTGAATCGTTGTTAAATATTTTATTGCATAACCCTTATAAAAATGTATATGCATGTCTATTGACAAACCATTGTATACATGTGTTCATGCATATATTGATACATTTTGTTTATCTAAAAATCATATTTTGTTGATAAATTTACTCTTGGTAAGTTACTATTGTTTAAATTCTTGAAAACTTTAAGTATTGTGAAAATCAATCCATAACATTGTGTTCAATTCTGATCAATCTTGATTGTTTTAAATAAAAAAAAAAATATTTAATGAATTCCAATGGGGTTATTAATGGTAATTCTTGGATTCCATGCTCTTATTTTAAGATTTTAAATTAGCAATTAAAATTTACATTAATAATCCTATTATTAATGTATGTAAATGCAGTGATTACTAAATAAAATTGTATACATTCAAAGCTTTAAAAAAATCACATTCACCATTTAATTGGTTTTATTCAAACTAAAAAGTCTTTTTTTTTTATGTGTTCACAGAATTTCAAAATTGAATCACAAACCAAACCACAAACCATGACAGAATCCACTGACAAAAACCCTTGTGACAGCGACAAGGTAAATTAATCCTCAATGTTTCTCTCTTATGCTTATTGTGACTTAAACTGACTTCCCAGCTGAAATATTTCTTCCCGTACCTCTCGCTGTAGAGTAAAGCCGTCAGTCGACCCGCAGTGCCTCCAAGGACGAGGTCTTTTGAAGTTGTTACCAGCCATCCTGAAGAGTGCTGCCAGCAAACACACAATAGAAACCGATCTGAAACAAAGGTATTGCATTGTTGTAATTTTAACACTGCCACTAAAACCAAACACTTGCATCGTTATACATTATTAAATTAAAATATTTCATGCTGATACAACTGCTTGACTTATTCAGGTGAGTGAAAAAGAAGAAAGCCTTGATGAGACCGGAGAGGAAAGCAATGAGGAGCTGTCGTCAGAGTAAGACAAACTCTTATTCTGGATTTAAAATGTACATTACTTTATCGTTAAAATGTTAAATAAACCATTCTATTTGTAACTACCGTAATTGTCCTTGAAAAAGTGGTGCGATAGAATCATTCGTCTGATTAGCAGCTTTTAGCAAATTTAAGCTGTTTGCAATTATTAATAATTACACTGTACACTAAAAAAGTGATTTGTTACTAAAAGCGAGTAAACCAGTTGCCTTTAAAGAAACAAATTGACTTTACAAAAATAATGTAAGTAAACCTAGTTCCTTGGAACTTTTAAGTTGACTTGTTTTTTGCAATTATGCAAATTGTATTCACTTTTTTTTTTAATGAAAGTAAACTAATCACTTTTTTTCAATACACATTTACAATTACTATACTTGCTTTTTTCAGCTTTTCTGTATCTAGCAAAATGACAGTAACAAAAATAAATCTGCTCTTCCAGACTCCAGTGTGTCTTCTAAATTCAATAAAGGCTATAATTGTAGATTTTATAGACTTAATGAAGCACCAAATATGTAATACTGTGATAATTACAGTAATTGTTTGAAAACATACTCTAAAAAGGGATTAGTTGACATTAAAAAAGCACAATTAGCATAATTATAAAAAGTCAACTTAACATTTCCAAGTTTCAATGGGTTTATTTTCTTTTTGTAAAGTCAACTTGTATTTCAGACAATTGGTTTACTCGTTTTGATTAACTAATCACTTTTTACAGTGTAAAAAATGCTGGGTACAATCGATTTGTGTTGGGACAACATGAATGAAGTTATTTGTTTTTAAAAAATGTAAATTTGTTGTAAAAAAGTTGTCGCAAAAAATCCTAAATAATTCTTTTGCAGATCATTTTAATTTAGTAATTTGAACCAACAACAAACATAACTTCCTTAGTGTATGAAAGCTTGTTTGTAGTAGTCAAGTGTCATTTTGCAGTTTTAAAATGTATGCTGTTTCTCCATGATTTTGCTGACTGACTTGTTTTCTAGACTCATGCTTTGTACAGAAATGTCAGTGATATAAATAATCAGTTTACTTAACAAGTATTTGCCTTTTTCCTAAAGGGAGAGTGGGATTGGTTCATCTGAAGACAGTCTGTTGACCTGTATGACGCAAGTCTTCAATAATTTAAAGACACAGGAAAAAATCACCGAGCCACACAGTCAAACACCACAAAGGTAAAAACAATTAAGCATAAACAGAATATTTCTAATGTAAAGCTTCCAGTTGTATGAAGTAACCAATTATTGCTTATTTTCTTATTATTACTTATAATCTTTTGCATTTTTTTTTTCTTTCAGTACCACCATCAGCGACATTAACAATACAGACTATTGTACTAACTTCAATGGAAACAGGTGATTTATGCTTTATCTGTATTTCAAAAACATTTCTATATTCTTTAGAGAGCGGTTTAGTTGAAAACACCTGTCAGAAACCCCATCCCCCCCTTAACCTGCAGAATTCAGTTGTCAATCAGCTTTGATTATGAAATTGTGGTTTTGGAATCCAACCACATTTTTACACTGCGTTCCATTCCCCAGTAAAACATACACCTTTGTTGAGAAGGAAATCAGCTTAAGTGCATGTGAACTGAAAAACCTGGTCTTTTCAGAGGAGACAGGAAGACTACGGTAAAACTATAACAAATTGATTTTAAAGTTATTCATAATAAATAATTGCGCCATGCATATTCTATTTTTTTGTGTTTATGAAGCATGTTTGGGTAAAATTTCAGCCGATTCAAATGTCACTCGATTGAATGGGCGTTATTAGTGGTTATCAGCTGATAGATATGGACCAGTAGGGGTCTTCTGGGCCTACTGGTAGGTGCAGAAGTCTGTTGTCATCCATCCACATGGTTAATCGACTATAGATCACATACGGCTGCGCCCGGAAGTTAACAAGAATTATTTATATTATTTATTGAACTTCCCATTAATTGTATTTTATTAACATCCACCCCTACCCCAACCCTAAACCCAACCGTCACAGTATTGTAAAAACAGAACTAGATCTGGAGTCTTCTTTATTAGAAGCTGATTAATCACAAGAATTATTTATTGAATTTCCCAATAATTGTATTTTATTAACGTCTACCCCTACCAACCGTCACAGTAATGTCAAACAGATCTGAGTCTTCTCTATTAGTATAGATGATTAACCATGCGGATGGATGTTAACAGTCTTGTGAGCCTACCAGTAGGCGCAGAAGGTCCCTACTGGCCTATATCTATCAGCTGATAACCACTGATAATGCCCATTCAAGCGAGTGATAACATTCAAAGTGGGTGCTAAATTCTGACGTGTTTTATTCTATAAAGATCTGAAAACATTTCTTAAAAATTCCACTATTTTTTTTTTACAAAAAAAATTATTAGAATAAAAAATTTTCATATCTTTATGATTAAAAATCTTTTTTTTTTCTCCAAATAATGATTTACTCTTTTCAAGTTTTTTTGGTTATATTTTTACATTTCATAAAACATGTAACATAAAAATGAACAGCTTAATTTTACATTTAGAGAAATGCCATCTTTTCACAGAATACAACAAAAAATAAGTTTTATCTTTCTCAGATGTATAAACTGTAAATTCAATGCCATCTTAATTTTTTGACATATCATTTTTGACAATCCTGGCTGATGAACACAGAAACTACAAATACTACCACTTACGTTTGTTATTTTTCCATTTCATTTCTTCTACAGCATGAAAGGTAAAAAGCGCGAGGTGTCATGCTCACTTCATGAGGGAGATGAGATCCTAGCATTCAATGACCTGTTGACATACACAGTGGAGGACATACAGCTATACATAAGAAAACTTTCCAAGGGCGAGGTAATCATGAGTAGATCAATTCTTTCCACTGTGTGATCACAGCTACAGCGTGATACTGACATTTTTTGTTTCCCCTCTTAGGTAACATTTACAGTTCGACGGCTCAAAGACTCCATTCCTATGTGTTCTGAAAGTTAAAGACAGACAAAAACAAAACAAAACAGCCTAATCTCATACGACTTTACTTGTTGAGCTGCTTTGCTAGTCCCTTCACTTTTATTAAAATCAGTAATTGTTTCTTTTTGTTTTTTCAGTCCAGTGAGTAAGCTGATAATACTTATTAATGTAGCAAAACTGCTAGTTTTTCTAGTGGTGATTTTTGTAAATGAATTATTGGTGACAAATTGTACAGGGTGTCAACAATAACACATTAAGCTTCTGTCTTCTGTCTACAATAAGTCTTGTTGAGCTTTGAAATCAAATATAAAAAAATGTCTTGTTTTATTGTGCTTGTTTCAAATTACTGAGGTTAATGGGGCAACAGACTTGCATGCATTAACAGAATCTACTTTTGGAAGTAAATACATGTTGCATAGAATTACAATATTCAAACATACTTAACAGTGTTTGAATATTATATGCTGGTGAATCTGTCCTAAATTAAATTGCATTTAATTGCAATATATGATATAACCACATGGTGGCAGAATGATACAAACTGAATCTTATTTCTTCAATTCTCATGACTCAGTAGCTAATTTATACCAAGGCATTCCTTAATATACTATATGTATGGTTTCTGCAAGTTTTATAAATACTCAAGACTTTAAGATGAAATAAAACAAAAATACATCAAGTAAAGGACATAAAATAAGTATGTTTTTTAATATATAAAATACAGTAAGCAGTTAATTAGTTGACTTTAAAAGTTTTTTTACACACATATTGTATTAAGTTTATTTTGTTTTTAATGTCACCAAAAAATCCTCCCAAACTAGGTAAATTACTTTTTCTATACTATTTAATCACATTGTTAAAAGCTATACTAGTTCTTCCTCAATATTTACCTCTTGTATTTCAAATCAAATATATAGATTCCTTAAAAAATAAATTTATATTTAAATATATATTTATTAAGTTTTTTTCTTTGAAAAAAATGAAGCAAGTTTGAACAAGAAATATCATGCATTAATTAGCTAATAAAGAATATTAATAAATCAACTCAAATTTTAAATAATAAATGCACAACTAACATAATATGCTGATATGTTCGTTTAAGTAAAAAAATCCAATTTTGTTTAATTACTTAAATTCTTCATTTTGGATCTCTAATGAAATCTAACGAATCTCTAAAATTTCTAATATAAAATTGAATAAAAAAATAGAGAGAAAAATATATAATTTTTTTGCAGTGCTAGCAACATTTAAATCATCAATCAGTCCCTAAGAATTTATGCCTTCTGCTCTGATTAAGCACATTTCTATGGTTTTAAATTGTGGAAGGGTGAATAACACTTCTTACAACCCACAGAACCCCAGCAGTATAATTGCTATTGCTTTGAAATCTGTCATGTTGATACACTATCCAAATGTGTTTGATTTTTTTTTTTTCATTTTGAGATTCAGATATTGAAAAAAAAAATCTAAATCTAATCCTGAAACACTATATTTTAAAGACTTTACTGGAAAAATGTTGATCTGGATGTATAATAAACATAAAAAATGCAAAACCATAAAAAATAACAGCAACATTCCAATATACGAAAAGCAGAGTTATTAGTAGCATTTGAAATAAGTTTAATTGATTTATTTATATTTATGTTATTAATCACGTATAAAACCATCAGATTTAAAAAAAAATGCTCTAAAAGAGAGCATACAGTATGTGGTCCATTTCAGCATTAGCTATACTGGCAAGAAGAAAAACACAATAGTAAAAGTCAACACCTTTAACCTTTATAGCATTGCACTTAAAAGGCAGATTAGAAGTCATTTTGTTTTCAAATATAAGGCAGATGCCAAAACCAACATTTGGTCCACTGAATAGAACAAGTCCAATCAATAAAAGGCACCATTAACTGTGGTCAGTAGATTTCATTGTTGTTGTCAGTTTACTTATTGCCTTGTTCCACAGCTTGAGCTTCTGAGGGTGCAAGGTGTTGAGCTGAGGTTTCTGGGTTCAGTCATCCACTCATGGAAGAAGCCCTCCATGGCTTTCCTGCTCCTCCAGCTGCCCACATTCACCGTGGGGATGATCTTTTTCGGCCGTAGCCACTGAACAAATCGTTTCAGCTCCAGAAAACTGCTGTGCTCGCTGTAAGGAATACCTGAAATAGATAATTATAGAGTAGGCAATGGCTCTCAAACTCTTGGAGATGCTCAGAAAAAGCTATTTATACAAAAATTACTCTGCCACAATCAAATACGGACCAACAATAAGCATGCTTACACTATTTATACTACATAATGATGCAAAATAGTGCATTCACACTGAAATAAATGCACTTTTCAACTGATCTATCAGATTCTGATTTGACTAATTTAGCCATGATTAAACATCGCCTGGGAGGCAGTTTGAATTTCTGTTTAGTAAAAAATAACACTAAACTACACACAGTGTATAAGTGTATATACTGTAAGTGCATATACTGTGGTATGTCATACACTGTAGGACGAAACTAATAATTTATGAAACTGCTGTTTAAGCAGTCCATTATTTTGCAATTATATGGTATATTTGTGTAAAGGCCTAACAAGCACAAATTCCCACGAAAACCCATGCTGGACGTCTCAGATTCCAGTGGAGTTTGTGAAATGAGACGCATCTACTGCTTGAGGCAGCACCTGGTACGGCTGCAGACCGCTGATATTCTGAAATTAAAACCCTGGGCTTGCAAAACCTGACATCTTGAGTTTTTCACTGGGTCAAATCACATCTGCTGACTCTGTTAATATAAGAACATGATGTTCTTAGCCTGAAATGACATTCAGCATTTCTAACAACAGCAGGAAAAAAAAAATCAATAAAATGTAATTACATTCCTCATACGAATCCATTAGCTATAATCTTGTCAGTTAGTGGAACAGAATGACAAGGCTGTGTTGTCTCTACACCCAAAATCAGTTTAATGGAAAGCAATCCTCTTTAAGATCTTATTCAGGAAGGGAAGGCGTGACAGATATCAATAAAATACGTGTTTTCTGCATTTTTGTTTTATTGCTGTAGGCTGAGCATTACGCAAAATGGACAACCTTATAAAACCACATCAAACCGGCCATAATAGATGCCAAAAAGGCGCAAAATGATGAGGTGTTTTTTATATGTTTTTTCAAAAAAATGTCTTGTTTTCTTTTTGATTTGAAATGACAAAAATATGCACTCATTATGCCCAGGGCTCCTAAATATACCAGATAAAACGGACAGCATTTGAATGCATAAAAACAGTATTACCAAAACAACACAATTTGATGTACATGCACTTCCCTTGATTAGGGTTTGTTTCGAGTTGCAATTTCAGTTTCAAAGTGAAGTGACCCAATTTTCTCAAATTATTACATATAAATATAGCCCTACGCTTGAACTCTTAACTGGTTTTACCAAAAGCCTTGCATGTTAACATCTAAGTAGAACTGGGTGATTTCACCTAAAATCTAAATCTCCATTAATTGAATATTTTAACTCGATTACGATTAATGAACGATTATTTTATTCATTTATTTATTTTTTTGCCCTCAGAGTTCACAGACAAGTTTTGTACAGTGAATATGCTCACTTATTACAAGTGAGAGACTTTTCAATGAAGGGTGCATTACTTGATTTTAAAAATAATTGAAGGAGACACACACTATCTACTATCTATGATTATTTACTGAACATCAACGTTGAACAACTGAAATTAAAACACATATTGTCTGTTTTTTTCTCATAAAAAAGTGAAAATAAATAACTTGCACTTTTGGAAACAAAATTAATTATTTTCAATATAACAGTGCAGTTCTTGCATTTTGTAAGCAATCATTTTAATGTAATGGAAAAAGTGGAAAAGTAACACAATAGTAACAAACAGAGCCTGCTCATGTGACTCCACACTCATTAAGGTAAGTAATTGAAAAAATTGACGTAAAACAGTTCGATAGATTATTGGTTCTGAATGTCGATTTCAATTACTTTTCTATTTATTACCCAGCCCTATATCTAAGACACAAGTGCGAGATCTTTTCAGACATTGACATAAATCAAGTAAATAAATGTACTGATAAATACTGATTGACACTCACCATAAATGCTGATGTTCCCCTGAGTCTGTGGTAGAATGTCGTCCACTCCCACGGTCTGATTAAAGGTCCAGCCTGTGGGTTTGAAGGCCACTAGCTGGTCATACTTCTTGGAGAACTTCTTTAAGTGTGTTTGAAGATTCTGTACAGCAAAAAAAGTTATTTTGAAAGTACAACGCTTTGGACAAAAGCACATGCTAAATGACTAAATGTAAACACAGTACAGGAAAAAGTTAGAATATTACACTATTTTATGAAAGAATCAGATTAATGTGGCAGTTAAAACAAGAGCAATAACTGCTGAAATCTCAGCTTAGTATTATTATTATTATTATACACTCACCGGCCACTTTATTAGGTACACCTTAATAGTACCGGGTTGACCCCCTTTTGCCTTCAGAACTGCCTAAATCCTTCATGGCATAGATTTAACAAGGTACTGAAAATATTTTTCAGAAATTTTGGTCCAAATGACAGCATCATGCAGTTGCTACAGACTTGTCAGCTGCAAACTTGGATGTGTTGTGCATTCAGAGATGCTCTTCTGCATACCTCGGTTCTAACGAGTGGTTATTTGAGTTACTGTTGCCTTTCTATTAGCTTAAACCAGTCTGGCCATTCTTCTCTGACATCAATAAAACATTTGTGCCCACAGAATTGCCGTTCACTGAATAGTATCTCTTTTTTTCGGTAAACCCTAGAAATGGTTGTGTGTGAAATTACCAGTAGATCAGCAGTTTCTGAAATACTTAGAAGAGCCAGTCTGGCACCAACAACAATGCCATGTTCAAAGTCACTTAAATCATCTTGACCAGGGGTGGCCAATCCTGTTCCTGGAGATCTACCTTCCTGCAGATTTCAGTTGCAACCCTTATCAAACACACCTGTCTGTAATTATCAAGTGGATTTCAGGTCCTAATTAATTGGTTCAGATGGGTTTGATCAGGGTAGGAGCTAAACTGTAAAGGAAGGTAGATCTCCAGTAACAAGATTGAGCACCTCTGATCTTGACCATGTCTACATTTCTAAATGCATCGAGTTGCTGCCATGGGATTGGCTGATTAGAAATTTGCGTTAACAAGCAGTTGTCCATGTGTGCCAAATAAAGTAGCCGGTTAGTGTATACGAGTATAGCATTATCATGACTAATAAACTAACAAAAAGTAGACTTGGTGAGCATACAAGACTCAAAACCATTAACCAATCTTATAGACCCCAAACGGTAGTGTATAGG